ATAAACACTCTTATACATGTGCTTTGGAACACACACACACACACACACATACACACACACCTTTCTATTGGGTGTATATACCTGGGGGTGGAACTGTTGGTTGCTTCCAAGTGGTTGTACAAATTTGTTTTCTGTATGACAGTCCTCTTGTTATTGTCAGTATTTAAAATTTTTACCAATCTGGTGGATATATAGTGGTATACCATTATGTTTTCCATATGTTTTTATTAAGTGAGGTATAGCCAGAAGCAAGCACTCTTAACACCCACTCTGTACAGCTGTTCATAGCAATCCTACGTGGTAGGTATGGCTATCATCCACATTTTGCAGATGAGGAAATGGAGGCCATACTCCCTTTCCCCTTTCTCTCTTGCAATCCACTCACCTTTCCTGGGGACCCCTCCCCACTTTTCCCCAGTGGGACTGGGATTTCTGATTACCACCAAGCTTGGGAGGCCCCTCAGACCAGGATGTTATCCTGGGTAGGGAGAAGAGGAAGACTAGGGTAAAGTGGGCAGGAGTGGGGAGGAGAGAATGGATGAAGCATAAAGGCTGGTGTAAGGAACCAGAGATCCTTGCTCTGGGCATGAGCTGATGAGACCAGAAGAGAGGTCTTAGACTAAACAGGAGGCATAACTGAGTCTATTTGTGAACTCCTAGTGCTGATGGAGAAGGGGGAGACATATAGCCAGGGAATAAGGACCCCTGTGTGTGTGAGTGTTGGGGTCTCTTAGAATCTCAGGCCCTCTGGGGTTTTCCTGAATCTAAGAACTCTGTAGGGTCTGTAATCCTAGAGTCTTGTTTTTTGGGGGGGGTGTCCCTCAGGGTTCAGACATCCCTTGGTAGAGTCTCTTTGGAGTAGGTAGCACTCTGTTCTCCAGGGCCAGGGAAGTAGGCACTCCAGGGAATGTGAGAGAAGGACATGGGGTCTGCTCTGATCTTGGGCTTCTGATCTGTCAGGCCAGGAGGCACCTGTCAAGGAGGCACCTTGCTCTTTGACCTAACAGGTGTCAGGAGAGGCAGGGCAAATGATTTTCCCACCGTAATATGTCTCTCTCTGCCCAGAGCCCTCTCTGTGTCTCTACCTTTGCAAGCGTCTTCTACATAGATCCTTCCCTGCTCCCACCTTTCTTGAGCCCTGAGCCCATGGCTCAGACATGATGCTCTGACAACACAGGCAGCATGGCACAGGGGGTTAAATCCATAGCAGCCTGTAAATATATTCAGCTTATGTTACCTTGAGTAAGCCCCATCACCTCTCTGGGTGGTGAAAGAGCTCTCACAAGGCCCAACATCATTCATTTGGCTCATCTCCTGCACAGGCTCTGGGCAATGAGAAAGAGATTCCGTTGGTGCTAATTAGCCTGGAAACAGTGACAACTCTGGAGGGTTGGGAGCCATGCCAGCATTGGGCCTGGGACCATGCAAAAGGACTCCAGAAGACCTAGGTTTCTAAACTGCCCGAGCTGGAAGGATCTTCACAATTCAGTGGGTTCCCTTTCCCCATTTTACAGATGGTAAAACTGAAGCTCAGGAAGGGGAAGTGGCCACAAAGCTGGCAAGGAGCAGAGTGTGCTGGACTGGAGATATGAAACTGGATCCTGGCCAGCCCAACTGCAGATGGACTCTTCTCTCCCCACCCTTTCCCCTGCCTGGGTGTTCAGTTCTTGAGCTGAATGACCTAAGGGAAGGACTCAGGCTCCTCAGGACTTGACCTCCTCTATGGGTGCCTTTGGAGATCCTCACTCGTGATCTGGTCTCTCCAAGAGTGGGGCCCTGCTGACCAAGGAGGCAGCCGTACTAATGTCCCATTGTTCAGTCCACATACCTGGGGCGACTGTGGAGGATGCCATACCTGGGGCCTGGACATCAGCTAACATGGAGGGAAACTGAGTTCCCTACTCAGTGTGGGCACAGTGGGCAGTCCAGAGAAGCCGGGGAGAGGCTGGGAAGCCAAAGTTATGGGGACGTCTGGGGCCCAGTCCCACACCAGTGCTACCTCTGCTCTGATCCCCTTCAGCCAGCTTGCACTCTGTACGATAGTCTTTCATCCTTGGCATTTGTTTGGAATGCTTATGATAGCTACTTTGGAAGGCAGTAAAACATAGAGGTTAATCATACAGACTCTGCCTGGGTTCACGTCCCTACTCTTCCACTTACTTGCTGTGTGATCTTGAGTAACTTACATACCTCTCTGTGTCTCAGTTTATCTTAAAAGGAAGGCAATGATAGCACTTCATGAGGTTGTTGTGAAGTGCACATGAGTGAAGTACTTAGAACCATGTAACTTGAACCCAGGTCCTGCTGCTCCAAATCCCATGCTCTTTGTATACAGCCTCTCCCAGAGGCCAGCAGGCCTGGGGGGACACTAAACCAATCCTCCAGGAGCTTTCAGTCCAGTAGGGGAGACGGAAGTCCTGCCACCAGGGGATCTCCAGCCATGTGGAGAAGTTAGAGTTTCCAGGAGGAAGGGGTAGGAGGGAGCAAACACTCGTTGCCTACTGTGTGCTGGCACTTTGTACAGGCCACTATTTCTCTCCCCTCCCCACCCTTTTTTCTTTCTTACTGCAAAGTCCCATCTTCCAGGTAAGGCCTGTGAAGCTCAGAGGGCTTAAGTAACTTGTTTCAGGTTCCCCAGTAAGTACAGTGGCAAAGCTGGGATTAGAATCCAGGCCAGCCTGATGCTAACATGGAAGATCATATAATTTTGGCTCAAGGTTTACCTCCTCCAGGAAGTCTTCCATGTCCTGGCTGTAGAACTGACCACTTGTGCCTCTGGGTCCCCATTGTGCCCCATATAAATACCCCCCAGGTCACCTGCACACTTCTTAGGCTTATTTTATTTATATGCCTGTCTCTCCTCACTAGTAAGTGAGCTCCTTGAGGGCAGAGAGTGATCTCGGCCATCTCTGTATCCCTTGTATTTCCTGTACATAGCACAAGGCCATGCACAATAGGTGTTTTGTAAATGTGTGTTGCATGAATGATGGGAGGTGATTGGAAGGTGTCATGTCCATTTTCCTGCCTCCTTGGAATTATCCCAGACAGTAATGGGGAGGGGGGCATCAGAGGATGGATTGAAGGGTGGTGCTGCGGTAGAGATATGAACATCTGTCTCACCTGGAAACCTTTCCAGTTTTCCCACACCCACCTACACTCATGCTTTAACCCTAGGCATTTCTCTTGGCTTTAGTCTCTCCTGCACTCTTTCTTCCATGTCCACAGCTTTGTGCCTCCCAGCACCTTTGCTGTCTAGGGGACAAATCTGGCATTGAGGTCAGAACCATCTTTTCTGGTCCCACTTTATTCTCGCAAGAGCTTCAGAGGTAGGATAAATGGAGATGGCCTATCTTCTTTTTGCAGTTTAAGAGATTCAAGCTCCAAGAGGTGGTGTCCATGTTCATACAATAAGTTGGTGGCAGAACTGGGTCCAGCATGATGGAGGGGGACAGGGCTTGGGAAAGTTTTCTGAATCAGGGGAGGGCTGGGCTCCCCCCCAGGGACTTGAGGAACTTGGCTCTGGGACAGCAGAGACCCCAGTTCGTCTATGAGATAGCATGGAGAGAATCCTAGAATCTTTTTTTTTTTTTTAAATTTTATTTTTCAATTACAATTGAGAATCCTAGAATCTTGTCCCTGCAGTCTTGATGGTTGCCAGTAGGTGCCGTCAGTTTGCAACTTTTGGTTCTGTCCCTACAGGTCCAGCTTCCAGCCCCTCTTCCTCCAACCACCTGGACAGTCTGCACTTGCAGAAAGTAGGAGAGGGCCCAATCCCTGTGAGATTGAAAAAACCCTGTTCTGGGAGAGGAAGCAGGAAGAGGGTCTCTGATCTGCATTTCAGCTTGGCTTCCCTGCAGCTTTCTAGGCAAAGCCAAAAAAATCCACAGTGGGTCACCGATTATGCCTGGACAGATGCCCTTACCCGGAAGCCAGCTTCAGGAGAGCAGAAGCATTTATGGGGGAGGATGGGGGAGTACTAGGGGACCTGAGAGGGAACCTAGGAGATGGGTCCCTGCTCCAAATGTTAACCTAGGGACCCTCCCAATCAGCAGGATTGAGGCAAGGGTGAGGGATATAGGCATCAATAGGATCTCACAAAGGACCTAGCCAACCCCAAATAGCAGCATTGGGTGAATTAGAAAAAGGCACCCTTTTCTCAGAACCCTTGTCTGCCATCTGCTGGAAGACTGTCACAACTGCTACAATGGCTACAAGAGAACTGGTGCCCTCTGGAGTTGTGCAATGCACAATCTGCACACTGAGAGTGGCAATCTCCCAAGCCAATAGGCCCCCAGGAGTGGGTCTGGGCAGTAAAAGCAAATATCCAGGAAGGAGGAAGAGGCTAGGCACCTTGCCCCCCAGAAGTTCAGTGATTCCGTTCAGGGAAGGCAGAGTGGACCAGGACCCACAAGAACCTTGGGGAGACTGGAGGCAGAAGATTGGAAAGGGCAAGTGCAAAGACAGCCTACTAACGTTTTAAGGCCAAGAGGCCCTTCTAGGCCCCTCGTTGGGTGCCCATACCCCTTCCCCCACCTCACCCGACTGGTTGAGACTGGAAGCACTGGGGTAGGATAGAAAGGACTGGCCAGGGAGACCGAATCCTTGGAGACCGGAGTCCGGGCTTGGAGGCTGCGCTCTCAGTGGGGGCCTGGGGCCGCCTTTGTGAGTCGGGGATGAATCCTCCAAGGTCGGAGGAGGGGGCCAAGGAGTAGCCTTTTCTCTTCGCCATCTCCCTTCCCTCCCCTCCCGGGCTCTGGTTCAGTAGCGCTCCCGGCGCCTATCAGGGCTTCCAAACTGCGCCGCTTCCTTCTTGGGCAAAAAAGGACTTTCAGACGTTGCAGCCGAGGCGGCAGCAACTCAGGACAGCGCCCCCTCCCCCTAACGGCCGCCTCTCCCTCTCCCCCTCGCCCTGCCCCCCTCTACTCCGCTCCCCCACCTCTGGGAAGGCGCTGGGGGTGTGGCCAGGGGCCGGTATAAAGTCCTGGGTAGCCGGACTCGGGCAGCCGCTCAGCCCCCTTACCCCCGCCGCCTGGACCCAGCCGAGGATGCGGCGCAGCGCCTCGGTGGCCAGGATTGCTCCTATCTAGCCCGCCTGCTAACTTCCCTGGCTCCGTCTCTGTTCGCCAGCGGGGCTACCCCGTCTCCCTGCGTTCTCGCGGTCCGGTCCTTCAGGAGCGCGGGGCGCTGCTTCCGTGCGTCCCCTGCTGCCAACCCGCGCGCCCACGCTCCCTTCCCGCACCTTGCGCCCGCGCCCAGTCCTCGCCCGATCATGCTGCCCCTCTGCCTCGTGGCCGCGCTGCTGCTGGCCGCCGGGCCCGGGCCAAGCCTGGGAGACGAAGCCATCCACTGCCCGCCCTGCTCCGAGGAGAAGCTGGCGCGCTGCCGCCCCCCGGTGGGCTGCGAGGAGCTGGTGCGGGAGCCCGGCTGCGGCTGTTGCGCCACTTGCGCCCTGGGCAAGGGGATGCCCTGCGGGGTGTATACCCCTCGCTGCGGCTCCGGCCTGCGCTGCTACCCGCCCCGGGGGGTGGAGAAGCCCCTGCACACGCTGATGCACGGGCAAGGCTTGTGCATGGAACTGGCGGAGATCGAGGCCATCCAGGAAAGCCTGCAGCCCTCTGGTAAGGTGCCTCTGCCCTTGCATGCCCTCCCTGGTGTGCTCCCCTCCCAGAAACCCCTTCTCCAACCGGGCTGGCCTGGAAGGTCCTTGAAAATCCCCTGTGAGTTAAGGAGAAGGCAGGTAAGTGGCAGGCTCAGCCAAGGAAACTGCTATCCAGTCTCTAATAGCCTGTTGCCACTGTCGAGGAGGACTCTGTCCCATCCCTCCACCTCAAACCTCCCAAGGATGCCTACTTGGGAAGACTAGTCTTGGCTGCTGGTGCAAGAGTGGAAAATTAAGTGACCTGGCCCAGCCCACAGCCTCCAAGTGAGCGAGATAACTGGAAGATGGGGATGGGGCGGGAGGTGGTGGTGGGAGGGGGGCTTTGTGTTCCTGATCCCGGGACCTCCCCTCACCCTGGCCACAGGTGAAACCCCAGGGGTCTGAAAAGCCAGGGCTTGAAGGACTTTTGACATTGAGGTGAGTGGACTGGGACTTGAAGATTAGAGGGGCTTTGGTGGTGAGGGGCATCAGAGTTGCCTTTCCCCAAAGCCCCAGGCCTGCTCACCTAGCTGTTTGAGGGGTCCTGGGACACAGGACTTTCTCTCTCCACTGGGCCTGGGCACCTCTTCCTGCCCTAGTACACAGGCATCCCGCTTTTTTTCTCTTGGCAGGTGCCATTTGAGGTGGCAGAAAGAAGCACATCTGGGTTCCCAGCCCAGAGCTGCAGAAGCCTAATGGGTGTGGGATAGGGAGTTGAGAAGAGAGAGGGAGACAGGCTTAGAAGGCCCTCTGCCTTAAACCCCTTCTTACACTTCCTCCGTTTCTCAGTGAGCTCTCAGTTGCTCTTAGCCTTTCTTAGTCTCTTTCTTTCTTCCTCATATTCCTTGGTCTTTCCCGCTGTGTCTTTTAGCCTCTAGTTTCACTAACAGCATGCTCGAGCTCTCCTTTCCCCAGTATCTTCTGCCCACTATCACTTTCTTTCTCTTTCTCTCATTCCCTTTTTCTGTTTCTGTTGCCCTGCTTCTCTCGCTTTCATCTCAGTCTCTTTCTGTTGCCCTTTCTCTCGGTGCCACTGTTTCTCTTTGTCTTTGTTCCTGTCTTTCTGTTACTTGGAATCTCTCTCTCTGCCTGACTTTCTGTATGTCTGCGTCCGTTTCTTGTTCCCTCTCTGACTCTGTTTTGCTTTCCCTGTGCTTCTCTGTCTGTCTGTCTCTTTTCCTGGTGCTTGAAGCTTCCATTGTTGCAGTCCAGATGCTGGGACTCTGGCCCCAAGCTTCCTGCCCTGGGTCCCAGACCGCTCCACTTCCTCAATCCTCTGCAGCTTGTTAGCTGGAGGAGAGCAGGATGCAGGGAAAACAGGAAGGAGGTGGACCCCAGGGGTCTGGGCTTCAGGCCTCTCTGCCCTTCCTGCCCCTGGGCAACAAGAGACAGGTCAGCAGAAAACATTCTAGGAGAAATGCCAGCCTGGCACCCAGCACATCTGGGAAGGGGGGGCAGTCCTCGGGGATTAAGTTGCTGTGCTCGGGGATCATGGGGGCAGAGATGCTGGTGCCAGTTGAAGAGGGAGGGGTACTGGTACCAAACCAGACTGGGAGTGAGGGCTGAGCCCTTGGGCTCGCTGGGTAAAACAGGACCACATTCTCTTTGTATCTCCCTCCTCTACCTGCCAGTGGGTATCAGGCAACAGGTTAGGATGGTTGATAGCCCCCTCCTCTCTCGCCAACTTGAACATGGGGCAGAAGAGCCCTCAGAGGGTCTTGGGCCCCCATTTTTCCTAAAAATCTGTTTCCCTGGGAGCTTTGGAAGTGGGGGGGGGCATGAACAATTTGTGATTGTCCTATGGATATCATGCAAACCAGCCTCCGAAGGTGGCTTTAGGTCCCAGATCCCCTTTGGATTACAGGGCCCTGTCTCTAACGCCTCTCACCCCTCCTACCTTGCCTTATTTTCCACTCATGCAGTGCATGCACTATCTGGAGAAGGAAAGGCTAAGTCTGGAGGACCCTGGGGAAATCAGGAACCTTCTTGGCAAGCTGTGTCCCTACCCTCTTACCTCCCAGTCATCACAGAAGTACCCCCTGCTATAGCCTGGGCCACATTGCACCAGGTGAAAGGTGTCCCCCTAGAGTTGTGCAGCAGCCCTGCAAGGTCTCTGGTGAGACAAAGTGACCAGGGTTTGCCCCTATTCCTACTATTCTCTTTAGCCTCCCACTGTCAATAGGCCACTGTCCCTCCTAGGTCCCAAGGTTGGGGACCTAAGCCTCTTCTTTTTGCCTTTTCCTCTTGAGGCTGAGCTTCAGCAAGTGACTGAGGGAGGATAGCCACTTGGCATGCCCCCTCCTCTGAACTGCTGTGGTCCCGCTGCCTATTATTTGCCCCAGGAGCAGGCCCCCCTTCCATCTCCAGACTCCCCCACCTTCTGGCTTTCTGAGCCAGAACAGGTTGTGGATTAACACCGCTCAGGCCACCAGAAGTGGATATGGCGTGGGACACGTGCGTCAGAAATCCACAATTCTGCATAAATGTATTGACCCTGGATTCATGGAACCTGGGGGAGTGGACAGTGGCATCAGCTTTTGGACTGGGGAGTTCCTAAGTTGTGCTCTGGGTCCCTCTGGGACAGGGTTAGGGAACATGCAGGCCAGGTTAATTTTTAGTCAACCCAGCAAATACTGTCCTCCCTGTTTCAGTACTGGGAATCCAGTCATGTCATGGGAACAGAGCATTCCCGGAAATTCTGTGCTTGGGGAAGAGAGGAAGGAGGAGCATAGCTGCTCAATGTTATTTTTTTTTTAAGTATTGGGAAAGCCAGAATTATTGGTGCCTTGGGTATCAGGAGTCTTTCCATTTAAAGACACAGGAGCTACAGAGATAAGCCTGTCCTTCCCTTCCATCCAGTCTACATACAACAGGACTTACCTCACGGGGTCAGGGTATCTGGCATGGAGTAAAAGCTCAATAAATTGGAGCAATGATGAAGATGGTGATGAAGAGAAAGTGGAATGGATTTAACTTGGAGCTTAAATCCTCCTCTGATGTTGGGACTTTGGGGGACATTCAGAGGACTTGAGAGGGGTAGGGCAGACTTTGGTGCCTTTTGCTGCTGTAAACATGGGAAGAACATGCCAGCTGTCTTCTCTCTGACTCTTGAGGCCCACAGTATATCACAACAGTGAGGGGGACACTCCTTGAGCCAAAACTCAAAAGAAAGGGTCCTGTACCCAACATGGTGGTCTTGACTTCTACAACCAGGGTCCAGGGGAAGAAAGAAAAGGACTTTCAGGGCTGGTGTGTGACCCTCTAGGTCATGTCTGAAAACCGCCCACCTCACAGCCTCACCCGGGGTATCTTGAGTGGGGCAGGGGCTAGAGTTGAGGAAGAACCATGAGAATGAAATCAGGCAGCCAAGAAAGAGAAATCCTCTAGTTTTGACCGTGAACTTTGTAGCCAGTAGTGACAAAGCTGTGAAGCTTCATTTTTCTCTGGGTGCTTTCCCTTCTGTTGCTGGAACAAAGACCAAGGTTTACCCTGTAGCTGCGTGTCATTGGCCTAGCTCCAAGCAGGGTCTGGAGGAGGTTACCTAGCCTACCTTAGAAGCCCGCCTCCCGAACAAGCCTTTTGGAATTCAGGAGATTAGACCTTTGGGGGGGCGGGGGGCTAGGTCTGACTCCAGCTCCTACTTAGAGGGGAACCCCCCAGGATTGAGGTTCCCCAGAGGGTACCACTTGGGTGAGCAGCACTTGGTGGCTGGAATTCCTGCGTGAGCAGGGAAGTAGCAAGTATTTAGCCAGTTTTGGAGATGAGAATGTTAACATTTTTCAGAGACTCAAGTCTGCGACCCTCACCCTCCCAAACCCAGTACCTTGGGGTGGACCCTGGGGTGGGTCCTTAGTGTGCTAGGCAAGGAAAAGTTACAGATTAAATGGAAAGTCAACAAGCTAAGGTATAGCCAGTGAGCCCTGCCCCAGGTCTGTGTTTCTGCCCAGGCTGGGTCAGAGTGTATGTGCATGTGCACGCGTGGACAGGTGTGTGGACACGTGATTGTTTGCGTGTTTGTGATTCTTGAGTCCTAGCCTTTCTGTGTCTGAGTGGGCAGATCTGGATATATTCTGTGTACCTATGTCCCCAGGAGAGTAAGCAAGGAGCTGCTCTCTCTGTCTTGGTGTGTTCTCTAAGCTTACACACAAGCTAGCCATAAAGTGTGCTGGGCGGTGGGGAAACCAAGAAGGGGAGGGGGACCAGGCATGCTGCCTGCTCACCTTCTCTGGGTAACATCCTCCATGTGATGTGGGGCCCTACCAACACAAAACCATAAGTTATGCTTCCAGGCTCCATGCAGCCCCAGGTTTCCATGAGCAGACCCAGTTTGTTCTCCTTAATGGTATCTCCTAAATTAAGGTATAAACATTTTCAAATACCCATTAATAATCCCTCAAACATTAGTCATTTGTGGACTTCAACTCATAGAAATTCAACATCAGAAAGCCTGTTTGCAGTTGAACTTCTACTCCAGAACTCTGGATTCTCGAGGCCTCAACCCCTTGGACGATCCACACTTCCAGGCTGTGGGGCTCTCTACCTCCCGAGGCAGCCCCATTCATTAGAAAACTCTTCCTTACTCCTCCAACCTAAGGACATTCTGCCCACTTACCAAGAGGAGCAAGTGTCACTGCAAAGTAGCACTTTCCTTTATGGTCGTGAAAAGAAAGCACACTCCAAGGAAAGACAACAAAACCTTTCCTGGTTTAAAGGATGCTCCCTGAGTTGGTGTTACAAAGGAGTCCCTGTGATCCCTTCCTCCTTTCCCAGGTAAAGAGGTGGTGCCTTTGATTGCATCTCAGCTCAGCCTCTGTTGTTCTAAGATTTGGCTTTAATTCCTTTTGGTCTTTCATGTCCTCTTTCTCTTCATTCCCCAGCTCCAGCCTACACCCCTGAAACACTTTGACCCCACCCACAAGTCTCATGGCTTTGTGCAGGGGGCGCGTGGAGGGGTGGTCATTGGCCAGCCTGGGCCCTTTTGGCCGGAAGGGCTCCTTGGGATGGTCTTCAGAGAAGAGCCTGCATCTGAGATCTTTTCTCTGGTTCCTGATTGAGGGCTCAGGTTTATCTTCCTGTGGCCCCCTTGGCACAATCCTGGTCTTCTGAAATATATCTTTCCTTTCTTTTGCTGCCCCCATTGGCTGGGAGGTCTTGCTATAGTGTCTTCTCCTTGGTTGACCTTCAGGAACTTGATGCCATTCCTGAGCCAGGAGTACCCTCTCGACTGTCCTTGGGATGTTAAATATGCCGAAGGACTGGGTATATCTCTCTGTTCTATTTATTTCTTCCCTTTGATTCCTCTTTCTAAGCTAGTCTTCCACTCGTGACAAAGCCTTCTTTTCATCCTTGGTGACTCAATTTTATAAATAACCTTTGGTGTGGAATCTTGACAAAGACTCTCTGAGGGTCTTGATTTTTTTTCTGGTCTGGTTTTCCTTTATCCATATGCCACCCTTCCCCCCTGGACTAGGAGAATAAAAGCAGAACTCCCCCCGCCCCAACTCACTTTGGCTAGGCAGAAATGTACCATTTGACCCAGAGGCAGCTCTGGGATCACTGCCATGCTTGGAGGAACCTGCTAACTCCTCAGGAAAAAAATCCTGACACAAACCAGATGTAACCTTCTGTCTGGCTGCCAACATCTGGAATGCTGGCAGGGACTTTGCACTCAGGCCGCAGCGAGCTGCCAAGCCCGAGCATTTTAGAGGTAGCTCTGATCTGCAGAGAGGTCTTGCAACCTCTTTTTCCAGCTCAGCCCTGTATTCTGGATTTGGCTGCCTGGAGGGAGAGGCAGCAGTTACAATTGGGTTTTTCTTGAGTTCAGATAGAGGCTTGAGATCCCAGGGAGGGGGTGCAGGCCCAGTCTTACCACCCCTGTCTCCAGATCCCCAGTGCCCTGGCTCTGGACAACAGGCATGGACTTTGGATGGGGTCTGAAATCTAAGAGTAGGGGAATGAAGGGATGTGGAAAGTATTCTCTTGGTCCTGGGCCACACAGAGCATTATTCAAGTGTACACACACACACTCTTTCACATGCAGGCATGCACACTCACTCCCACTTTTCTCCTGTCTAGCTAATGGGGAGAGTCTGTTGGGTCAGATTTCTCATCACTCACGGAAACTTTGATTCTGGCCGTTTGGAAGAGGGTCAGGGGAGCTGACAGCCCTAGGGATCCCCTGGCTGGCTCAGCCAGATGCTGAAGAGCAGGAAAAGAGACAGGAAGAGAGCGGACTGAAAGGGGGATGGGGGAGCTGAGTGGAGGGCCCAGGGGACCCTCCTGCTGTCTGGGCAACTGTAGCTGTTGACTCATCTGAGGGCCGGACTGGGTAGGGTGAGGGACAAGTCAAGGACTTCAAGAGGAACATTCTCCTGAGGAGATCCAGGAGAGTGGAAAGGAGATGGGGTGCTGCCTTTACTTTTTCCTGCTCCTAACCCCCCGCTTTTCCTCTGTCAGGCTAGAGAATCCCCAAGAAGAAGAAAGCAGGTGGGAGGCTGGGCTGGTGTGCTGCCCTGTTCTTTGCTGGTGCTGACCTTTCCCCATCTTGGCCTGATTGCAGACAAGGATGAGGGTGATCACCCCAACAACAGCTTCGGCCCCTGTAGTACCCATGACCACAAGTGCCTGCAGAAGCACTTAGCCAAAATGCGAGACCGGAACATCAATGGGGGCAAGATGAAGGTCATCGGGGTGCCCCGGGAGGAAGCCCGGCCTATGGTGAGGACCTCTGACCTCAAATGCACATGTTCACAGCACACACACCACTACCATTCTTTGGATGCCTACAGTGTACAGGATGCACCGAGTATACATCATCAGGACCCAGAGAGTCCTCATTCTTTTCTTAGAATTCCATTTCTGCTCAGTGCTCTGTTGGTACAGCTGAAGTGATTGTTAAATACAGAAATACTTCCATACTGGTTAGTAACCATGGTTGCCCCAAGCCTCCTGATGTTCTGTGGCCCTTCTCTTAGATTCCCCACCCCAGACTTTCTCAGTCTCTAAAGGATTAATGCCGGCCATAACAGGGGGCCTTGGGACCCTGCTCCAGGGTCTGGCAAAGGTCCTTTCTGATGGGTGGTTCTGATGGCTCTGTGCCTGGATCTTATAAGTTGTTGATTGCATGATTTCACTCATCCCTCCTGCTTAGAAACCACCCCCTTCCAGTCCTGCACCATAGGTTTCCATAGCTTCTTTCCCACAGGACCCCTTCACTTCACACCTCTCCTTTTGAAAAGCTCTTTGGCCCAAGATCCTGTCTTCAATGTCCCTCTGCTCTCCCTACCAGTGTCCCCAGAACCCAAGCCATGCCCTTCACCTCATTGGGGCCTGCCCAGCCTCCGGGCCTTGACCCTCCTTTTAAGACCTTCAGCCCTGAGATGATGACCCCCACAGCCCTGGTTCTCTTGCCTCTTTTCCCTTCTGCTGAGCAGCTTCATCCTTCCGCTCTCTTCCAGCCCCAGGGCTCCTGCCAGAGTGAGCTGCACCGGGCCCTGGAGCGGCTGGCTGCCTCACAGAGCCGCACCCATGAGGACCTCTACACCATCCCCATTCCCAACTGCGACCGCAACGGCAACTTCCACCCTAAGCAGGTGGGTCTCCATCTCTCTCCTGCTTAGCCTTGGCCTCAGCTCCAGGGTCCCTTGATAGGGTCATCCAGGATAGATGGGAAGAGGGAAGGGGGAGGCTCCCCAACCCACCCCCAACCCCTAGGACCGTCCCCAAACCTTCCCCTCAGCCTTAGGACCTCAGCTCATTTTGGAGATGAGGCAACTGAGGCCAGAGTCACAGAACAAGTTAATGGCAGACCAACTATCCTGCCTCCCCATCCAGGACTATTTTCATCACCTCTTGATTCAACATTGGTGACGTTCACCTAGTATTCCTGCCTCCCAATACTTTCTCACTCACCCTACTCCCTTCCTATAAGTAGTTCTCCTTTGTCATGGAATGTCTGTCTCACCCTCGAAATGGAGGGACTAAGTCATGAGGGGTTAAGGAGGGAACAGCCTGTCCCTTACCCCAAGGTGAGCAGCCAAACCACCTGGGGTACAGCCAGGATAGAGATGATGGTAGATCTAACAGCTGGAGATAGGGATTTTGGGTGGGAGCGGAGGAAGGAGGTGGGCAAGAGAGGAGACATGAATGTAGAAACTTCTGTGCCCTCTCACATCCTTAGAACATGGATTCCTCTGACAAGCACCCAGGAAGCTGGAATGTTTAAGAAGGCTGGCCTGCCACAGCCCCAAACTCTGGCCTGTCAGAGTTGGGCCCAGATGGAAGGGTGGCATATCTGGGCAGGGCACTGGGGTGCCTTGTGTTGGGTGTTCCTTGGGGAGCCTTGGCCTAGATCTCCTTCTCCAGCTCCTTGTGGACATAGGCACACATTCTTACACTTCATGCTCTATAGAAAGATCCACAAAGTGGGTTGCCGCTCAGCCAGCAGAGGCCTAGCCAGGAGAAGAAAGGCTGCCCTTGAGTCTGTACATCCCAGGATGGCATGAGGATGTTATAAGTGGTGTGCAATGAGTTGGGGATCAGCGAGGGCCCCACTAAACCAATGCCAAACCTGTCTCCAACCTTTACCCCAACACCAATTTTATTTTTGTCTCAATTTTTTTTTAAACCTCCACCGGAGGATATTTTTTTCATTGCTTTTCACAGAGAGTGGAAGGAGGAGAGAGAGAGAAACATCGATGTGAGAGACACACATTGATTGGTTGCCTCCTACATGTGCTCCAACTGGTGCGGGGGATCAAGCCTGTAACCGAGGCATGTGCCCTTGACCAGAATGGAACCGAGACCTACTTTAGTATGCAGGCCATTGTTCTAACCACTGAGCCAAGCCAGAGAGGGCTGTCCCAATTTTTAAAACCTTTTTTCCCTAACTAAAAAAATTAATAGACTTTGCTAGAGAAGTTAGGTTTACAGAAAATTGAGCAGGAAGTACAGAGTTCTCATTTACTCCTCCACCCAGTTTTTCCTATTAACATCTTGCATTAGTGTGGTACATTTGTTACAACTGAGGAACTAATACTGGTACATTTAAAAAAATTTTTTTAAAAAAATATGTTTTTATTGATTTCAGAAAGAGGAAGGAAGTGGGAGAGAGAGTAGAAACATCAGTGATGGGAGAGAGTCATCGATTGGCTGCCTCATGCACACCCTCTCTTGGGGAATCGAGCCCTCAACCAAGGGCATGTGCCCTGACCAGGAATTGAACGTGACCTCCTGGTTCATAGGTCGACGCTCAACCACTGAGCCACGCCGGCTGGGCTTGACACATTATTATTAACTAAAGTCTATAGCTTACAGTAGGGTTCACTCTTTGTGTTGACAGTTCTATGGGTTTTCTTTCCCCAATTTTTTTTCCTACGGAAATTTCTGACCCTTGATGCCCAGACCAGTTCTGATCCTTGAGACACCCTTCACTCCAACTCTAATCCAGACTCTGAAATACACCTTTGCCCCCTGCCCTCCCTCCTCCCCCTGTCTAATCCTGACCCAAACTTGAGCCCAACTGCTTCCGTTGTTTTGACTTTGACCTCTTTATCCCAATTCTATTTCAGACCTGGGCTCTAAGCCTCACCCAACTCAAGTTTTAGTCGTAATTCCCAATTCCACTGCAGTCCTTACCCTGATTGATGCTACCTTAACTTCAACTTGGACCCAGCTATGACCCATAATCCCATTCTTAAAGTTCCAACCCAATGAGAATGCATTCAAAACATCTCCAACCTGCACCTTACCCTTTCAAATCCAGCTTCACCTCTAAATCCTATGGATCCAGCCATCCCTCCAGGAAGGCTATAAAACGTCCTCAGGGCCCTGCCTTTTAAAACTCTCTGGGCTTTTCCTTCTTGACCAAGTTCTCTGTCTACTCCAGTGGTCTCAGAAGATTTGTGCTCATGAAAGAGCCTCTGCCCTCAGAGACCATCTTGGAGCAATTTGACTGACTTGGGGTCTGGGCTGGGATTGGGGCCAGCTGCTTGGTAACTGACCTCTCCTGCCCTTGTCTCGACAGTGCCACCCGGCCCTGGATGGGCAGCGCGGCAAGTGCTGGTGTGTGGACCGGAAGACAGGAGTGAAGCTTCCAGGGGGCCTGGAGCCGAAGGAGGAGCTGGACTGCCACCAGTTGGCTGACAGCTTCCGCAAGTGATCCCTACCAGCAGGCAGGGGGCTCAGTGTCCCCTGCCCCCCCCTTCCCCTGGAGGCTGCAGAGCTGACCTGGAGCCCAGGTCTGAGTCCTGGCTCTGCCTCTGGCCTAGAAGTTTTCCTCCGGGTGTGTGCTGTGTGTGTGTGTTTATAAGCATGGGTGTGGCCTTGGGGTGAGCCAGAGCCTAGGGATGTCCTCTTTGGGCTTAGATAGCCTGAGAGGCCTGAGAGTGGCAATGGGGAGCCCTGGTGTGTTTCCAAATTGATCCTGGATTCATTCATTCATTCATTCATTCATTCATTCATTCAGCCATTTAAAAACATTTATTGGCTACATATTACATGCCAGCTCTAGTTTTTAGCCCTGGGGTTCTTATTCTAACTTCCTCCAATTTGGACATGTGGGGCCACCTCCTACAAGGTGAGCACAAGTCTGTGGGAGACGAGAAGTCTCAGTCCCATAATCAGAGGAGGGAAGTAGACATGTCCCTTGACCAATGTCCCTCCCCACATAGAGTGGAGGCCATAGGGAAGGTGTGGGGTAGCAGATGGTTCAATGGTCAGGAGACCAGACCCACTCCCAAAGCTAAGGGCTGCCAGGCTCCTCTTCTCTTCCTCACTAGGTCCTTCCAGGGGGAAGGACCTGCAGAGACAGGCCTACTTTGGGGTTGGGCATAGTGCCATCTGTTTGCCTGGCAACTGAACCCCTGATATGGAGTAGGGAAGAGGGTCAGAGGAAGGCCTTCAAGACAGAGGGCTGGGCAGTGGGGCCCATGTCTGAGCAGTCAGGGTGGGAGGAAAGAATGCGTGATCGGACTGCATGTGTCTGATGGAGAAAAGGACAGCATACTGGGGATGTAGTGCTGAGAGTGAGGGATTTGCCTGGGGTCCTGCTTCCTTCCATTTGTGGCCAGAGCCATGAAATCACCAGGATGACTCCATCCTTCAGTGGCTCACAGCCTGTAGCTCTGCCTCCAGCTCCACACTTCCTTCCCCTATGGCTCCCTACCTACCCCCTGGGTATTTTCTGGCTTGACTGGATGGAAGGAGACATAGGGACCTACCAGTTGGCCATGATGTCTTATCTTTTTTTTTTCTAACAAAACAAAACAAAAAAACTATACAATTGTGTTTTGCTTATTTATTTACAGTTAGAGACAGGGATGTACCAGGGGTGGGGAGGCCTATGCTGTGTGGTAAAAGAACTACTAAGAGTCACCCAATTCACCAACCTCTCCCTGCAGCCTCTTCCTGAGGGGCCTCCCTGTCCCCAAAGTCTGTGCTGTTTGTGTTCAGACTCCTGGTGGGGAAATAATGGCTTCCGAAGGGTGGGAGCCAAGACAGCCCTGCTGGGTCAGAGCTATTTCTGGGATCAGCTGGTGTGTGGAGCTGGGGCACTTCCTAGGGCATCAAGCAGATTGGGTTTGCATCTGGATTAGATTTATTCCGGGGGGTGAGGGGGCGCTGCCCTGAAGCTGGGGGGTGGAGGGTAAACTTTCTACCACATTCCACATCTCTGCCTGCCTGGATTCCTGATTGGGGGTTGTGCTGATTTGATTCTGAGGGGTTGAGAAGGGGGCATCTTTGATCTTGCTGTCCTGGGCACACCAGGCTGTAGGCTTTTGGTGGCAGCCCCAGCATTTGTACCCACATTGTATGATTGGATTCCTGGTCATTTCCGAATATCCCTCCCCTTCTTGTACCTCTGTGCCGGGTACTGATTTCTTGGGTGGGGGTCCCTTTCTGGGAGTTCATGGGCAGCCTGTAAACCCTGCGCACCGAGCTGCTGTACTCTGAGGGAGTGACCTCCTGTCTGGCAGTCTCCTGGATTCCTAGCCCCTCCCCAGTTCCAGAGGTGCTCCCAGGCCTCTTGATTTCACTGGCACCTGTGCTGTCTGCATTCTGAGTCTGGGGCTGCAATCCTCACTCCTCTCCAGCTCAGCCATCTAGTCTCCCTGAGGCACCATGGGCCCGCTGCCAGCAGCAGGAAATAAAAAACAAAGTGACGCTGAGGGTTGCTTTCTCGGGCCCCTGACCACTCTTCAGAGAGCCCCCGATTTCTGGGGCCAAGGCCAAGCCATGTCGGGGTAGGAGGTGGGTGTAGGCTGCTGATTAAGTTTTAGGTCCCTAAGCCAAATGTAGGAAAAGTATCTCTTTAGATCCCTAAAGCATCTCTTTAAATGCTCTAGCCTTGCACCCTTGGCAGTGGGTGGTAGGAGGTCCTTTTCCTTTCATGGGCCTCCAGAAAAAGCAGGGTCTGCTTGGGAAGTGGCTGCACACAGCCTGGGATGTGCCTTTGATACATGTATATTTATGGTGCATGGGTGTGCACACATGTGTGTAAATATAGCAAAGTGATACCTGAAATGCAAGTGGGAGTGTGGGCTCTTACAGGGCACGTATACCTGGTCTGGGTGTGTGTAGATGGTGCATTTGTGTCATGTGTCCATGTGCGGGCTGCATGAATCTGACTGAATGTGTGTGTGGTGAGGAGAGAGGGAGTAAGAAATTCAGAGTATGTGCTTCCCTCCTGGCTGTGAATGAGTGACCTTCACTTAATAGGTGTCCTCTGCAGGGTTTGTTGGGGAGCTGTCTAGTGTCAGAGAATAGAGGATATGCATTTGTGGGAGGGTTCCATACCCCACAGAAACACTGTTCCCCCACACCTGGCACTTGTCCCCACGTCCTGTCAAAAAAAGAAGGAAAGGCAGCTCAGTGTCCATGTGGACACTCTCCTGGGCAAAGTGAACTGTCTTGAGCAGTGTCCCCGTGGGGAGAACTGGGCTCCAGAGAGGACTTGCTGGCCTAGTTTGCACCCAGGCCTGCCCACCCTCGAGTCCAAATACCCTTGAAATGGTTACTCTAGTTGCCACAGGGGCACCAGCATCTCCGGCAGAGGTAGAAAGGAAGGGGTGTCAAGGACCAAACTCATGTCTTGGTGGGGCCACCATACCTGGATGAACTTAAACCACAGCCCTGAGTGCTCTGCCTTGCCTTCCCCCAAAATGTTATTCCCCCATACTGTGGCTTGGAGTGGAGGATGGGGAGCACCCTGCCAGGATCTCTGAGCCCATTGGTGCCGATCCACATCAGGCATTTGGTTTCCATTTCCCAGCTCATTAGTGGAGATAAGCCCTGATGTTGGCTGAAGGTTGGGGGCTGGGTTTTCCATTGGCAAGAAGACAGGGTGGGAATAGGGAGAAAAAAACGGAGACTTGGACTGACTCTGGTATTGGATTCAGGTGGGGGAATCTCTGGAGACGTGGCCAAGGCTCCCCACCCCTCCTCCTATCAGGGTCCTGAGGTTCCAGCCACTGCCCTTGCTTCGACTCCTTCCAGGAAAAGCCTGCTCCGTCCAGCCTCTCTGCCCTCTGGGCCAGATTCCCCCAAGTCGCTCCAGGAATGTTATGAAGCACGCAGGAGTTGGGGCGCCTGCTTGCCCCACCCCTTC